CGTTATTTATCTTCGTTTGCACGCTTCATTCATTCATTCCGCTTTACCTCTTCCACAGAACATCGTCCGCTGCTCTTTTGATGCCCTTTAAAATATTGAAGGCACTCACTTGAGCCGGAATTTCGGCTGTCTCAGGCCTCCGCCAAATTTGCTTTTTACCACAATACGTTTGAAACTAAGCGTAAACTTGAGTCCAATTTATCTTGCAATCAAATATCCGCAGTAAATATCGAGTGCTCAAAAGATGCACTCTGGTTACATTCATTCATCTGTTTGCATTCCATTCATTTAAAGCGAACGATTTCAATAAATCGCATTGTTTATCCTTTATCGAGATACAGTCTCGCCTCCGACACACACGCCGCAGTTACTCTTCCCCTCCGAAACCCTCAAATTATCCAAAACGGGTGATCCCACTTCCTACGACAGCCACTCTCTTAGACCGTTGTGTTCCTCATTATTGCAATTGATGATGCTTGCATGAAAGCCTAGTGTCTATGAGATGCTCACTTCAAACTGATTTAGATAGATTCTCATTCTTTTCAGACGCCACGCTCACTTCAAACTGATTTTGATGGATTCTCATTCTTTTCAGACGTGTTGCCACGCTCATAGCTATTACATGCGAATACCGTTCTCTTGATGAGTTTTTCTCATTCATTTTGTCTCATTTCACTTCACAGCTGAAATCATTTTCTTATTCTGTAGCATATACTGTTTACTAGATGCGTTGACGAGTGTTGACGGCCGAAGTCAACAATACAGCAATCGAATATTATTGCTCAACAACGTTCGACAGTCAACTGATCAATTATAGAGTGTATTTGATAGAATGAGAATTTGACTTTAACTGTTGAGTGAAATGAATGAGAAATTAGTAAATGAGAATTTGACTTTAACTGTTGAGTGAAATGAATGAGAAATTAGCAAAACACAACACTTTTGAAATTTGATTTTTAAATTGTTGAGTGAAATGAATGAGAAATTAGCAAAAGAGAACACTTTTGCTGATAAAAGTTATACGTTGCTCAACAGTCAAATGATTAAATATAGAGTGTAGTTGATAGAATAAGAATTTGACTTTAACAGACATGAACGAGAATTAGCAGAAGAGAACACTTTTGGTGATAAAAGCTATGAGAGCGACTATAACAGCAGAAGAGAACACTTTTGGTGATAAAAGCTATGAGAGCGATTGCGACAGCTCAAGAGAACACTTTTGGTGATAAAAGCTATGAGAGTGATTGTAACAGCAAGGAAAAGAATGAAAACACCGTTAAAACAGTAAAAAAATGAACCCTGTTAGGTCCGGATGAGCTAATGATACCCGAGTTAAAAAATATCATCACAATGGTGTTCAATGAAAACATAACAACTGCACGAAATACTAATTTCCCGACCCCCTCCGATACCCCTTGACATCTTCAAATTACACAAAAATATTATGGGTAATTTCACCCCCTGTGAGAATCACTGAGCTAAATAAATCTTGGTCAAAGACTAAGTTGACGCCCTTAGCAAGTTACTCTCAGACTGAGGTCAAGTGTAATCGGAAAGCAGACAACGACTAAACTTGAGTTGCAAGGAACTCGATCGTTCGGGATTACCCTTTGCTGTGTGTCTCATAATCGGGTTAACTTTATGATTTACATCATATCAGATTCACTGGTGACTCGATGAGCGCAACACGTGCTCTTACCAGAACGCTGTCAACTGATTCGAGTGCTAGCTGCGGTACTCGCATCACGCCGCATATTGCTGATGTGGTGTTCGATCTGTACCGTAACCCTGACACTGATACACTCTCACTTTACAGGTTACTCAAGGTGTGTCATAATAGTTTGAAATCTATGAGGATATTTTGATATGATCGGAAGTTTTGTCGAGATTGATTTAATTCTGCCTTGGTCATCAATTCACACCATTTTTTCAAATGCACTTTAGAGTTTTTAAGTTGATATTATGAGTGCTTCTTGAGGGATATTAGAGGTAATCGTCGACTCATCAAACTGCAGTTTTGCGATGTAATGC